CAACAACATTTGATATTATTTGGTCAATTGAAATTGCTAATATTGTACCAAGACGTACAACTGGTTGTTGTTGGTTAAATAATGATGAATGGCTTATTACAGATGAATATGATTTTCGTCTATTTCATATATCAGCTAATGGACATCTTTTAAAAAGTGATAAATATGATCCAGCACCATATAATGCTTTACTATTTGGTAAAGATGTACTTGCAATACGAACTATTAAAGGTGTCAGTTTACATAGACTCTAATCAAACTATAAATTTTTTGTTTTTGTAAAATATAATTATAAAAGTTTTTTTCTAAATAGAATTAGATCGATAAAATTGATTGAAGTGATTAAACGATAGGTTGCGTGTTCATAGGCAGTGGAATGTTTTGAATTTAAGATAGGCTCAATAATTTGTATAAGATTCTCACCTGCAAGTTAAAAATAGGAAAGAGTAAAAGTATGTCATTTACAAGAAACATACTTACAAGGGAGCATATTCAACTACCAGATGCTGTTCAACTCCATATTTCGGCTATGAGTAAGACTAAGAGAACTCTAGAAGAGTTCATGTCCATGGCCTGTTGATCAAGCGTTATAACTGTTCCATTAATTTTTCAGTTTATCTGTTGGTATATGTCAAAAAATTAAATTATATGTTTTTGATCTGAAATTTTGTCTAAAGTTAGGTCTCATGATTCTAAGAATATTCTGAAAGTTTTTGCCAAAATCAATATTCCTTTCTTGAGTTATTGCATTTTCAAGCGAACTCAATTTTTTGGTCATGTGTATGATAAGCGTCTGGTTTTTGTAAACTCGATTACTGAAATAAGAAACATTGGCTTTCACTGAAACTTTGAGAATATTCTTAGGATCATGAGCACGAACCCTTCTAGAATTCTCTTAGTTTCACTCATAACCAAAATATAGGATTGAACGACGTCCGGCAGTTAAATATGTTCTTTCGTTAGTACTTCTTTTTTCCAACTTGCATCTTGCACTTGAGGAAACACACCAATAGTAATCTTTAATTAATTTCGACCCCCGCAAAAAGAGTTCGTGTGTTTGCTTATTTTATTGAAAACATTTCTTAGGTATGTATGCTTAGCAATCGAGGGTGAATAAAACTTTCAGCAGTTTGTAGTTTAGATAACTCGAGTTTCTCATACAGTTCTTAACTTGTAGCATACGAGCACTACTTCAAATCATTAGTACACTTGAATCCGGTAAAAAAGTTTTGACATTTGTACAAGAATTTCAATGCATTGCATAAATCTATCAATCTGATGGAATGAGAAACAAATGTTTGAACATACGGTAGGCCTCAGTCTATCCAAGTGTCGTAGCTGTGCCGCCTGTGTATGTGTCCTATAAACGAAAAGTGTGTCTCTAAAACCTTGCAGAAGGATGGGCTTTTTCTTTAATCTGTGACTGATTTATATAAGTCATCAAAACTAATTAACAGTTGCTATAGATACTAATTATATTAAATCCATTGCTTAAGTATAATCGAATGTATCTATCACACAACAATTTGTGTATTCCATTAATATGATAATTATCTAATAAAGATTGAGAATACGACATTGAAGCGTTGTCAGAATAATAGTAGCATGCTGACTTCTTGAGTGGAAAGTAATTATAGAACCTATCTCTGCATAACGAGTGACTCGGAAATAATTGTGCTGTTCGTATTTTCAAAATTTCACCTCTCATTTTACATCTGATCGAGGCATCTTTTTTTCTTTTATCAAAAAATGGTACTTGAAATTCTGTTGAAAACCATATATGATTAAATTTGAGAATTCTTTGCGATATATAAAAGGAGAAAGATGAATAAGTAAATACGTACAAACAACTGTGAAAAATAAATATGAAAATGATGATAGATCAACGAAAATTTATCATAATTTGGCTGGAGTGGTTTTATTACAAGATCAACAACACTGACTCTATCAATTTGTCACACCATCCCGGCCATTCAAACACGAATATTTATCTGAAAAGTAAAACAGTTGTCAAGAAAAAAAACTGCCTGCTGAAACAAAGTCCATACTGCTGCTATCACATGAAGAACATAACTATTTATTTCCATCAAAATTAAACAAGAGAAAATTTTACATTCTATACTTGATTATACTGTACGATAACTTTTGATTCAAAAACATGGAAGAAACTATATTCGTTAAATAAATAATACTATTTTGTGCAAAATCTCAAGCACTATCTTTTTACAGAATCATTTCAATCGAGTGAAGAAATATTAAAAATACAAACAGTCTAATTTATTCTGGACGATTCGTTAATTTCTGTCAAGACTCATCTACGTTTCTCCACTTTTCTAATTTATTTTTGCAAAAAGAAAAAGATCAACCGATAATTGTGAATGAATTATCAAATAACACAATCAACACAAAACAATCATACTTTGATATATTGGCAATATATTCAATAAGAAATAAAGAATAAACAATATAGTATGATTGTCAATCTATATTTTTCTTGAGTTTTTTTTTAGTCAATGAGAAAGCTATTTCATTAAATGAATATTTTTTTTTACGAATTTTTCTTGATATTGAAAAACAAAAAGTAAACTCGACCACTGAGTCGGATAGTTTTTGGAGGAGAATTTTTACTTTTTCATAAGCTTTTGTACTGTCTACTTAGACAATTAATGATTCTGACAGCTTGAAAAGTTCAGTAGCAGTCCCATTGAAAATGCAAGACCCATGTTGAATGGTCTTTTTCTTTTCAGTTCAATTTTAAAATTAAATCGATAACTTATAACTGCCGATATATTGCATTTTTTCAATACAATTCCGTAGTTTCCCCTCAAAAACACCAGAAAAATTAATTTTCGAATCTTGATTTGATCCTTTGCATAAAAACAAGCCTTAATGATAATAGTTAATCTTGAAAGTCTTAAGTCATTTAATATCTGTTCCTGTCCTGGAATCAAAACATCGAATCTGTCGGTGTCTATGAACAATTTAAAAGACGTACTGTTTTCATGATTGTATCTTGAGATAGAAACAACAAAAATCTTTGAAAATTTCACAATAAACTATTCTTATTAAAGCTTTTGATAAATAAACGGAGAAAGTTCATTTCAATATGAAAAATATATAGAAATGGATTGTCTATCTTTCGAGTTGAGTGAATCAGAAAGATAAGGGTGTAATTGAAAACATGAAAGTGGGATGTATGTAGATGAAGATTAGAACTGTACCTACACAAAAATATTCTCACTTATCGCCTTACATCAATTTTATCCTTTTTTTTTCATTTGTGTAATAGTGAACTGGTTAACATTTTATTTTAAACATATTTTAGAAGTGAAAGAGAAATAAAAACAACTACCTTATAAGGGCTGGTCATCAATGCTAATATGTAAGTTACTCAATGAAATATATGCGAATTGTTAGTAGTAATAAGATGAACGATGTGACTCAACTATACATTACAGATATTTAATCTAGACTCTCGCAGTAGTGTTTTTCAGCTTGTATCATTCATTCGATTATGATGTGCAGAAATTTGAATTTCTTGGATATAGGAATTTACTATGTCTTCATTTGGATTTATATAATGCACATTACTTGACTAAAAAGTGATTATTAAATTGGAGGAAAGACTTTCCTCATTATAGATTATCTTTGCTTTTAAATCTTTCTAAATCTCATTAAACGATAATACGTGCAAAGATAATTCACACGCATCTAAAATTGATTATCAAATCTTGTTTTTTTTTCTTTGTTAAAGAAATTAAGCTTTCATTGACTAGTATCTATTCTAGAAATGAGAATACTCTTAGATCTGATAGTCAGAAAACATCAACACATCATTTGAAAACTTTCTTAAGATCATTTTTGAGATCAAGATATAAAGTTCTACTATGTTAGAAATTTTCATTTCATTCAGAAGTGGTCGATATCACCTCAGATGTGCTACTGAAAGAAACATTCCAAGAGTAAAGATAAAAATATCTTGTCATAAGTTTCATTTTGACATTCAAAAAACTTCTTATTAAAAATAAAATAAAGAATTTTCGATAAAACTAACATTTACATCTGATGTATTCGAATAAATTTTTTTTTTCTGAGCAACTATCTTTATTAAATTTTATAAAAGTATTCAAGAAACATTATTTAACGCTGCATTTTTTTTTCTCTTAAGGAATGATATTAAAAATTTGATAAATATTGTATTGTATTTCATAAAATGTAGGTGTTCTCTTTTTAATTAAAGTTATTTTCTATGGGCGTCTAATAATGCATGAACTTATTCGGAATAATAATCTGTTTTGTGGACATTTCTAATAAGTTTTCTAAAATAAAAATAGTAGAAATTCATTAGGAATTAATAATGTTTTTAAGAAGATAATCGTGATATAATTTATCTCAAGCTTTTACTCGTCTTTTTTTTCTTCTCTTCATTTCGAAGAAAAGTGATTTTATAATGTCGACAGCACCTTCATCAAACGTCTTTATTACATCATTAAAATTAATACAAATAAATATATTTCGTATTGGTGGTCCAATTTTAATCGTTTTTGGTACGA